CATCTTAGCTGTGGAGGGCAGTGTCACTGGCCCTCATATGTGGGATCCGAACCGGGGCCCTCTGGCGTCCCAAGCCAGTTCTTAACCATTGCACCACTCGGCCGGCCCACAACTGACAGTTTTAAAGGTGACTCAAAACAAATTAGAAAAATTTGGTTTGTCTGACGTTTCCTTGCAGTTAGATTTAGGTTATGTACCTTTGTCAGGAATATCATAGAAGTGATGCTATGATCTTGTATGCTATCAGGTGGCACACAGTTTCAATTTGTGCTGTTAATGATGTTTACTTCGATCACTTGATTAAGACTGTGTCTGATTGGCATCTCTGCTATAGAGTTACTGTTTTTCCCTTTCTACTTAATAAGTATTTTGTGGGGGAGGCATTTTAAACATCCCATTCCCTATCAAACTTTCAAATTAATCATCCATTTTTAGCAGTATGAATTTATGAGTTGCTGTTTATTCAGGGTTATAATCCCTTTACTATCATTATGAATTTTGAAGCTCCAACATAATTTTGCTAGTGGATGACCATTCAGGTTGAATTCTGTGTTCTTTTACATGTCCTCATCATTCTTTCAGCACTTCCTTGTTTCTCCCACAAGATTCCAGGCTCAACTTCTATTTTCCCCAACCTTGAATTGGCCATTTTTCCAATGAACCCTTATTCCTCTTATAGAAAATATTATTCAGAAGCCAAGATCCAAATGCTAGTCATGCTTATTGCAATTGGAGTGTCATTGCTTTTACATTTTAACTCTTCTCTGACAGAAACCTGGCTTCCATTATCCTATTATTTGGTCAGTCCCTCTACTGCACCAGTCTAACAATTAGTTCTACCATCCCCTCTCCTGTGTGATGCCCTTCTCTCCTTGCTCTGTCTGACTCTTCATTCCAGGCCACCTCTCTGCCCCTGCCTCACTCTTCCTCTCCCCTTCCCCCACCATTTCCTTCTTTCCCCTCTTGAGCACCAACACTCTGTGCCAAATCAGCTCTCTGTGGACACCCTTTTCATTCTACTTGGTATCTGATACCTAAACTAAGCTGTCCCTCTCCATGGACATCCTCTCACCTTGCTTTGACTCTGACACCCCTTGCCAGGCTGTCCTTCTCAACTCTTTTGGGCTCTAACCATGTAGAACTTAACTCCCCTTCCCATTCTCCTTGTCAGATGAACACCCTCCTCACCTTTTTTTTTTTTTAATGCCCTCCCAAGTTTTGTGTTATACATTGAAAGAGCTTCTCTATAACATTAAAAAAAATTTTTTTCTGTTTTCTTCTAGTGATTTTGGTCTATTTTGGAATTTATTTTGAAGTAAGAAATTAATTAGAATTCCAACTTTTATTTCAGATGGTTATCATCCAGTTAGCTGGAATTTTATATAAAAGTTGTATTCCACACACACCCCCAAAAAAAATACGAAGTTTGTTAAAACATTTACTGCATCCATAGAACTGTTCTTAAAAAATGGGTGTCATTTTTCATATATTGCTTTTGTTTATAACAGATGATGATGTACCTGCAGATATGGTTGCAGAAGAATCAGGTCCTGGTGCACAAAATAGTCCATACCAACTTCGTAGAAAAACTCTTCTGCCGAAAAGAACAGCGTGTCCTACAAAGAGCAGTATGGAGGTAAATTAAATGTAACTGCTTTTCTTTTTGTAATTAAATAATTGTAAGAAAACATACCAAAAAAAGAGAATGTTATCATTTTGTAAAAGTAATGATTATGTATGGTAAAAATATTTGCTTATTATAAACTAATTCGTTTTCATTTTGTTTTTGAAGGGTGCCTCGACTTCAACTACAGAAAACTTTGGTCATCGTGCAAAACGTGCAAGAGTATCTGGAAAATCACAAGATCTGTCAGGTATTTCCTATGGGGAAACTAAGAGTTAGGGTCAAATACTTTTTTAAAATTTTGTTTGATACCAAAAAAATTAAAAGTAAATGTAGTTTAGTGTTATGTTTGGGATTGAGAAAGCGATTGCCATAAAATAAATATGACAACTCTGACATCTCCCTATTTGATTTTGTTACATAAAAATACTTTTTATATATTTTCACGAGTTTCTGAAATGGCACGTAATAGCTAAAAGAAAGCATACTTAAGTAAAGATAAAAGAAGATAAATGTGTGTCATTTATGAAAGCAAAATGCTTTTTTTTTTTTAATTTCTATCCAGACCCTTTCTGGCAAGGGAATCTGTGAAATATAGTGTTTAGCTTCCTGGATCCTTAGAATTTTAACTCCACTGCCTTTTACCTTGGATAAGACACCCTAGCCTAACCTGTCTGTGCTGCAGTTTCCTAAGTAAAATGGAGATAATAATAGTACCTCCCTTACAGGGTTGTGATAAGGATTAAATGAGTTTATATGCACAAAGTTCTTCTAATAGGTCCTACACGTGTACAAGAGAAGTAATTATTGTTCCGTAAAGGAAGACTCAGAAGAGGTGGGAATGGAATGCTGGTTAGTTGCTCGCAGATGAAGAGCGCAGTGAGCTGGACTGCAGGTGACCTAGATAGTCACCGCCTCCAATAGGAGAACAGAGAATCAGATTGGCTTCTTCCTAAACGATAGTAGCAGTAGCCAATCGCTTTGAGTTGCACAGATGGGCAGGTGGGCCCTGGCACAACCAATGGAGAGAGACATCTTCAGAAGGACCAGATTTCTTGCCCAATGAGGCTGGGGAGACTGTCGCAAAATGCTTATTAAATGATTGCCATCACAAAATAAAAGTTATTCGTTAGATAAAATGAAAATTATGCTCTCTGAATAATCAGTCATTGTTAACACGATAGATTGCTTATATTTTGTTTATTAATCTCTTTATAGCAGCACCTGCTGAACAGTATCTTCAGGAGAAACTGCCAGATGAAGTGGTTCTAAAAATCTTCTCTTACTTGCTGGAACAGGATCTTTGTAGAGCAGCTTGTGTGTGTAAACGCTTCAGTGAGCTTGCTAATGATCCAATTTTGTGGTGAGTGAAAATTTATGTCTTATTATCTTAAGATACATTACTTGCTGCCCAGAATGCTAAAGATGGTAGGAAAGTTGAAGTGTGAATTGGCGGTTACAATTAAGTAGAAGGAAATTAGATTGCTTGTAAATTCTAAGTTACTAGTTTATCACAAATGTGAGTTATCAGTCTAGGTAATATTTATAAAACAACAAATGAATTACTTTCTCTACTGTTTATCATAAGTTAATAGCAACTGAGTGATTTGTGAAATGTTTTTCATTTAATTGCTCTTTAAAAATAGAACCAAGTCTAATTTTAAACAGCTAATTAATTAAATCTCATAGTTTAGTGAGAATGTAGGTTATATACATCGCTTTTGGAAAATACTTTGATAGTTGTATTCATGAACCTTAATATACGCATGTCCTTTGACTCAGCAACTCCACTTCTGAAAATTTTTTTGCCTTATGTATAAATTTTTCATGACAGCATAGTTAATAGTGGGGGAAATTGGAAATAATGTCTGGCAATAAGGGAATGGACTAAGTGAACAATGTAATGCCTTACCTGGATGGTTGGGGTATAGTCATGAACAGTGATTTTTATAGAGTTTTTAATAACATGGGAAAATGCTATGTTATAAAAAACAAAAAGAGCAGAATAATAAATTTTGTATGCTATATAAATCACAACTGTAATAAGTGAAACGAACTGTAGGTAAAAAGACTGGAAGGAAATATAGTAAACAATTAATAATGAATATATTGAAAATACAGGTTATCGGGCCGGCCGAGTGGCGCGATGGTTAAGAACTGGCTTGGGATGCCAGAGGGCCCCGGTTCGGATCCCACATATGAGGGCCAGTGACACTGCCCTCCACAGCTAAGATGCTGAACAACAGCTCATCCTGGAGCTGGGCTGCTGTGAGTCGCCGGCGACGGCGTGGGCTGCAGCCCCTGTGGCAGTGGGTTGCCATGGGCTACTACTGTGTGTAGCCAGCAGCCAGCGTGAGCGGCCAGCAGCCGCAGTGAGGGGCTGTCCAGAAGCCGGCGACTGATGTGCCTCGCCCCGGAAGAGCGCAATGATGGTGTCAACTTGGGCCAGTGAAGCAATGTCCTCCACAACTAGACTGAAGAACAAAAACGACAGCAACTTGTCTGTTCCCCTTCCCCCAATTCTCCAGCACTGTTCCCATCCCCCCAATTCCCCATTAAAAAAAAAAAAATCTTAAAAAAAAAAAGAAAATACAGGTTATCTTTTCTTTTAAGAAATTTTATTGGGGAACAGTGTATTTTTCCAGGACCCATCAGCTCCAAGTCAAATAGTTGTCTTCAATCTAGTTGTGGAGGGTGCAGCTCTTTGGTCCATGTGGGAATCGAACCGGCAGCCTTGGGTTATGAGCACTGTGCTCTAACAACCTGAACTAACTGGCCGCCCCCAAAGTTATTTCTTTGTACTTATTTCTATATTTTCCAGCATCTTCTATGATAAGGTATACATCTTAAATTTAAGGAAAGAAAATATTTGTGTTAGAAAGGAAATAGAGAAAGGAGAACAGAAGAAACATTTTACTTTGTACAGAAAGTGATTATAGTTACTATCACTCCATTTCTAAGATTTGATGGTTATTGATAAATGAACTGAAGGTATAAGAAGAGTTAAGTTTGAATATTTTATTAAAAATTGTCCTTTTTAATAACTGTATCAGGTTTTTACAGTAAGGGTGGCTTATTTTCCCTTTAAACAGTCAAATTTTGAAGGATTGACACTTTTTATTCTTTTGGGCAGTAAACTTTTTTATATGCAGTTATACTTTTTTAAACAATACATATAAAATTCTGTTTTTTATATTCATATAAGTTTTTGAAGCTTCAGATAATTTTTTTGTAGTTGTTTAAAGGACATTTTATGAAGAACTTTTTTTTTTTAATTGGGGAACAGCCATGGTCATTGGTTACACATTGCTTTCATGCTACAATGGCATAGTTGACTCTTTTAGGGAGGGTGCATCTCACAGTGGCCCACACAGGGATCAAACCGGCAACCTTGGTGTTATCAGCACCACTCTAACCAACTGAGCTAACCAGTTACCCCCTGAAGAACTTTTAAATTCCTTTCTCCCTTCAGGAAACGATTATATATGGAAGTATTTGAATATACCCGCCCTATGATGCATCCTGAACCTGGCAAATTCTACCAGATTAATCCAGAAGAATATGAACATCCAAATCCTTGGAAGGAGAGTTTCCAGCAGTTGGTATGAAGTATAAATAGAAAATATATAAGTTCCTTTTAAAAAAAATTAAACTCGGTTTCAAGCCAATGAACATTTATCAACCAAAAAATACTTAACAATTCTTTTCATTACTGGCATACTTATTAATAATTTAAACAGTGGCAGTAAACATCAGTAGCCTGAGAGCAGTTAAACTTTCTGTGGGTCTGTTTGAACTTATATTTAAATTATTAGTATTCAGTAGTTGTTGAACAAGTTTCACATTTAGCTTAATTTTCATATGGTCCTTTACAAGTGGTTCTCAACTGAGGCGATTTTGCTCCACAAGGGACATTTGGCAATGTTGAAACATTTTTGGTTGTCACAACTGGAGAAGAGGATGCTAGTGGTATCTATTTGGTAGAGGCCAGGAATGCTGCTAAACATTCTACAATGCATGGGACAGCCCCCACAACAAAGAACGATCTGTCCCAAAAAATCAGTAGTGCTGAGATTGAAAAACTGTGTTTCTTCATACTAGATATTACTGAGTCAAGCTATTCCAAATATTACATTGCACTAATAGAAAACTAGCTGGAATAATTGATAAATATTTTTGATGTTTAATTAAAATATTCATATAGTACTAAATTAATCTAGAATATAATGTTTCTTTTCCTTTTCTTTCTTTTTTTTGACATTTTAGTATAAAGGTGCACATGTAAAGCCAGGATTTGCTGAACATTTTTACAGTAACCCTGCAAGATATAAAGGAAGAGAAAATATGTTGGTATGTTTGATCTGTTGGTATGATTTTTAGAAGACTTAAAATGGTAATCTTGGTAATCTTTCAGTTCTATACTGACACTTTTTCTTTTGTAGTATTATGATACAATTGAAGATGCCCTTGGTGGGGTACAAGAAGCTCATTTTGATGGACTTATCTTTGTTCATTCTGGAATATATACTGATGAATGGATATATATTGAATCTCCCATCACCATGATTGGTGCAGGTATTTTGAAATGCATCATCATTAGAATTTTAACATTTTATTTACAAACTGGGCTTATAAAATGCTAGTGACTTAAAATTCAGATGACCTTTGATAATAACTTAATGGTAGAAAATAATAGCAATTAAATATGCATATTTCATGTGATGGAAATGAAATGTGTTCAGAAATTACAGATGTATTTATTTCATTTTTAGATGTATATTTCTTAATGTCAGTCCTTTGTCCAACTGTCTTCGTTATTCATTAAGAAAAGAAAAATATTTGTTTTATCTTTTATTTGAAAGTAAAGATGCTACTGTTTTTATTTCTGTGTTTTTAATAACATAAATATGATTTTTAAAAATTTTGGTACTATTTAAAAGCTATTTTTGTGCTGAAGTTTCTAAGAATACATGTAATAAATATTTGTTGAGCACTGATCAGCCATTTGAAGATTTGTTCTATCTGATTTTTTAAGAATATGGTACATAGACCTTTTTAAGATGGTTAGTAATTGTTACTTGTTAATGAAATTTGCATTTACTGCCCTTTCTGTTTTCCTCCCCCATTTCTACCATGAAGACAGGGGGAAGGGTGTAGAAAATTTTCCCTAATGATTTTTATTTTAAAGTCAAGGCCAGTTTTGGAAATAAGTTTAAATACATTTCTTTCTCTTCCTACTCATTGTCCCCTTCTTTTCCCTCTCTGAGCCTCTTTTTCTGGTGCTGCAGGTGGTGATTTTGTTTCCACAAGAAACCATTTTTTAATATGCCATTGTATTTGATATTAAGTACTATTTGTAGTTGAATCTTAGAAGTATTATTATACATGGATTTGAGTATAATGATACTCAGATAACATCTACCTTAAATATGACTGCCTGTAGTAAAGGCCAGTGCAACAGTTATCGATAAAATGAGTATTAATCTTCTACTCAGTGCTAATGTTTTTTAGAAGTTCTCCCTCCAAGAAAAGCACCCAACTTAAAAACAATAAAAAGTGCTCTACTGAATTATTAGTTTTGTGGCAAAGTATTTTTACTGATTAAAAAAGTAATTTTTAAATTTCCATTTCATCTTTCTTATAAAGGTAACATGCTTTAAAATATCTTCCCCACAGCACCTGGAAAAGTAGCAGACAAAGTTATAATTGAAAACACTAGAGATTCAACCTTTGTTTTTATGGAAGGTTCCGAAGATGCTTATGTTGGATATATGACAATAAGGGTAAGGAATTTTAAGATTTAAAATATATATGTTGAAATCTTTAAGGCAGTGGTTGTTGATTTCAAACAAAATTTCTACTTTTCAGTTTAACCCTGATGATAAATCTGCTCAACATCACAATGCACACCACTGCTTAGAGATTACAGTAAATTGTAGCCCTATTATCGATCACTGTATCATCCGAAGTACATGTACAGGTTAGTGTTTCCTTTATGGTTTATTATAAAATGAGTCATTGTGTTGTTGCCCAATAGGTTTTTAAAGAAATTCTTTTTCTCACAGTTGGCTCTGCAGTATGTGTTAGTGGTCAAGGAGCATGTCCCACTATCAAGCACTGTAATATCAGCGACTGTGAAAATGTTGGACTTTATATAACAGATCATGCACAGGTATTTTTTAATTTTGTGGGTTTTTTTCTTTTTTAATGTTTTTTTTCCTAAAGCTCTACTAATGTTTATTTCTGATTAATTGTTGTAGGGAATATATGAGGATAATGAAATTTCCAATAATGCTTTAGCAGGGATTTGGGTTAAAAATCATGGAAACCCAATTATTAGACGGAATCATATTCATCATGGACGTGACGTTGGTGTGTTCACATTTGATCATGGCATGGTAAGTACATTTATTCTTAATAGAAAAACTGACCTCATATCAGTTAAATTTCAAATAGGTTTCAGCATTTTCTCATCATCAAACTACCTGAATTGAAGAATACAAGTTTAAAAGAGATTTCAGCATTATATTTTAAAATCAGTATGCAATATTTATTCTGTAAATTCATGGATCTAGCATATACATGTAGAAAAGATGGAGTCCTTAGGGTATTGATGTAATCTTTGAGAGGAATAAGGCCTAATCCAGTAGTTCTCAACTGTAAGTGTGCATAAAAATTACTCAGATATAATAAACCAGAATTTTCAAGGATCGGACCTAGGATATGCATCTGTAATAAGCACCACAAATGAGTTTAATACAGGTTGTTTGTAAACTGACTGCACTTTGAGAAGCAATGGTTTCATCATTGGCTTGACTTCCATTTTATTTCTCTTAAATTTTTTTTTATTTTTTTATTTTTACTGGAGACTTGGGGGATAGGAACAGCACTGGGGAATTGGGGGAAGGGGAACAGACAAGTTGCTGTCCTTTTTGTTCTTCAGTCTAGTTGTGGAGGACGTTGCTTCACTGGCCCAAGTTGGCACCATCATTGCGCTCTTCCCGGGCGAGGCAGATCAGTCGCCGGCTTCTGGACAGCTGATCACGACTGCTGGCCGCTCATGCTGGCTGCTGGCTATACACGGGAGCCCATGGCAACCCACTGCAGCAGGGGCTGCAGCCTACACCGTCGCTGGCGACTCATGGCAGTCCAGCTCCAGGTTGAGCTATTGTTCAGCATCTTAGCTGTAGAGGGCAGAGTCACTGGCCCTCATATGTGGGATCCGAACTGGGACCCTCTGGCGCCCCAAGCCAGCTCTTAACCACCGCGCCACTCAGCCAGCCCTAAATTTTTTTTTTTAACTGGCAGAATTTTAGTAAGAGATAGTGTGATAATAAAAATATCAGTTCTAAAATTGTTAACAGCTGTTAATTAGGCATCTTTATGGATGATACTATGTTTTATAAATATTCTGTCATTTTGTACAGTTTTCTAGAGACACGACTTTGCAAGCTCTGTTAGGCCACTATTTCAAAATAATATTCTTCGATGTCTATTCAGGTATTCTTTTCGTTCAATGTCTAATTTTTGTTGAGGTAATTTCCAAGTCCTAGTGCAGTGTTGGAAACATTTTTTGATGAGCTAGAGATGGGAGAGGAGGTGATGATGGTGTCACATAGGGTTATGATGAAGTTTTATTGCTATTACATGGTATTGGAAACATTGGATTCACATATACAAATTATCAGTTAGTGGAGGAAATTATTTTCATTGTTCGTGCCAAAACCCTAATGCAGAACTCTTTTGAAACTGAACTAGACCATGGGGAGAGCACCCTCTTTTCTAGTTCTGAATAGACCTAAATAGTTTCAGACCATCCAGTTTATCATCATTTCCGGGGTAACTGTCAAATGAGAAAAATAATTGGCTTACAACTCTGGCTATAGCATGGGTCTGTTTAGATAAGAAAGCAGACTGGAGATGAGGACTTACCCTTATCCAGCTGGAATAAAGAAATTGACATTTTGTTACATATTTTTACTGTTTTTCCCAAGGAGGTGTGGTAGCTGGGGAGTCTGGGCAAAGGTATTGAGACTCTGCCTTCCCTTAGAGGCCTGTATTGGTTTTAGTTCCTAAAAGGTCTCTTATTTTGTAATGAAACTATACTATGGCTAAACACTAGTAAATACTGTGCTAGTATTTCTTTGCCTGTGTTGCCTTTGGACTTTGCCCTAGAGTTACCTATAATTCAAGTATCACATTTATGCATGCCTCTGGTCTCCTTCACAAATGATTTGAGGTACGAAGATAATTTTAACCAGAGTAAATGTCCTCATTTTTAAAAGACCTATGATGATGGTCACTTACTAAATTAAAGTTTGTCATCATTTATTCCTCATCACACACCCCTGATATAGTTTTGTTTTTTGTTTTTTTTAAGATTTGGGTTTATAAATTTTATAACTTTTTTTCAGCAACTTTAGGCAGTGCTACAGATAGATATTCCCATTAAGGATTAATAAAGAGATTTGTAAGGTATTACAGATTTATACGGGAAGGATCACAATAAAGCATATCTGCAGCCTGTTGTCTCTTTTAGTATTGTGACACAGTTCTTTAAAATCCTTTGGTAGAATGTTCTACCATTCCAAGTATAGCAAGTCCTTGAATAACGTTTTGTTATAATGTTGATGAGAAAAGAAAACTCAGTTCCTGGCTGGGGCCACTGTAGGGTGGAGTTGCATGTTTCTCCCCATGTCTGTGTGGGTTTTCTCCAGGTGCTCCAGTTTTCTTCTGCATCCCAAAGATGGGCATGTTAGGTTAATTAGTGTGTCTAAATTGTTCCAGTCTGAAAGAAGAGGGAAGGTGGAAAGGGAAGGGGGAGGTAAGGGAAGGGCAAGCAGGCAGGCGAGTGAGCGAGCAGGTTAGAAAATAATCTTGTTTTAATGTATAGCTCACATTTACTTCAATGTCTAATATAAGTGTTTTGAATCTTTAGTTAGAATTTTGGTGATGTTTTTGTGACTAGAAATATGCCATAGGACCTTAACTCTTGTTTATATCAATTAGCCTGTAGTAAAGTTGGTTTCTTCATATGTTGTTTTGCTTAAAGTTTGCAGTTTCCAAGAACCTATCCACCACATTAAATAAAGACTTAACTGTATTGTTTTAGCTTATCTTTGTGTTGGTAGCCTATGCTTGGTTGGATGACATCACTAAATATAACATTTTTAAAATTTGATTGTTTTTTATAGAACTTCAAAGAACATCAGAATAATATTTAACCTACTTTCTGTATTGTCCTCTATCTTTAAATATATTTATATTTATTTGTTCTCTGAAATTGTCTTTTCCTTGTCTATGACATACTTACAATTTAAGTTTCTGTGTTCATAAGAATGAATCATAAAAGATTTTCTACTCTTTTATTTTAAAGAAATCAATGTTTTTGTAAAAAGTAACCAGCATAAAAATACCTCTAGGATTTAAAAGGTTATGACTCTAGAGTTTGTCAGTTAACTGCTTATTTAAACTTCAGAATAAAGTATGAACTCCCCTTATGAAAAAATGAAGAAATAAACATCTCTACCTCATTATTTATATTCTTATTTTTATTTTGTAAAGGTTTATAACATTTACATTTCTATAGTTATTGGTCTATATTTACTCTATATTTATTTACCTTTAGTCCTTTTATCACAGTTTCTCCATTCCTGAATTACTTTGATTTATTCTTGGTATGGCTGAGCTTTGTCATCTAGCCATTTTTTGTGTTTGTTTTTAAAAGTAAGGGTTTATGGATATTGTAGTTTGAATTCTTGCCACTTGAGAATGCCTACCAATTACCTTTCAACTTGGCTGAGTACCGTTTTGATTATACCTGTACTTTCCCTCAGAATTCTGTAGTCATTTTTATATTTCTAGCATTTGAGTGTGCCTGAGAAGTCTGAGATTATTATTGTTGTTGTTGTTATTGTTTTTTTCTTTCTAGTAGAGATTTGCTTTTCTGCTTCTGTAGCTGTATGTGGGTTTTGTTGTTAATGTGTTTTACTTTTACCATTTCCCTATTCCATATGTTCCTTCCTTTATAAACTTGGCTGTGTTTTCTATTATTTATGTTGCTGTGTATTCTGTGTTCTTTTCCCATAAGTTTTGTGTGATTTCTTCAAATCTGTGTCTCCATAGTTTTGTCTCTTTTTCTGTTTTGTTTCCACTTGGTTTCTATCTCCAATTTTTTAAATGTATTTTTGTGTTATAGAATTTTTCTAATGTACATAAAAGTAGAATAGTATAATCAATCCCCATAAACCCATCTTCAGCCTTCAACAACTATCAATTCATGGCCAGTTTTGTTTCATCTACACCTCCTCACTCATTCTTTATTCTCTTCTTTATTCTCTGGATTATTTTGAAGCAAATCCCGGACATCATGTCATCTGTAAATATTTCAGCATGTATCTTTAAAAGATAAGGATTTTCTCTTTCTTTCACATAATCACAATTGCCAATCTCCTAAAAATAGTTTTCTTTCAATGCTGACAGTTCTCTAATTATTTTTGTTAAATATTCAATCCATTGCAAACTGTTATTTTTGTAAAAAAAAAATTAAAATGCCATAGCAATGCCAAATTGTTGTAAAATTTTTGAGACATTTATTCTAAATGTATAAATTTAACTCATGACATATTGACAAATGACAGATTCTGTATGTTAAAATCTAGCTGTCCTCTCTTCTCCTTTTACTTTACTTTGGATAGCCTTCCTTAGATAGGAAACTTAAGTTTTAGACAATAGAAATTGCATTGGTGTAGTGAATTTTCTTCTTAAGATTTACTTCTTGTAGAAACAAAATAAAGGAAAAGTGTTTCCTTCTCCTAGGTTCTATTCATGCCACTAAATCTCATCACTTTAGCAGATCTTATTAGAATCTTCAGTTACTTGGGGAAGACTACCTTGCTAAAGATTTAGGATAGCATTTGTGCTCTGAGTACCCTACTCTTCCTTGTCCATATTTCATACTACGTATTTGGCAAGTGTTTTACAGATTAGTTTGAGGTTATGGAAGTTTATGTCAATGAAGATAGCATATTTTTTCTCTCTACTTTGTATTCTTTTTTGTTTTTTGGAGAGTTTAAAGAGAAACTCTTGAATGCCTTTTACTCTGTCAAGTTTAATAAAGAATATTTCATTTCAAAAATTTTAAATGAAATGCTTAGTCTCACCTTTTTTATATCAGTGTTTTTAACTTGATAGAATGATGATTTTTCAAAGACTCACAAGAATGTGTTCGGCAGAAATTTATAAATGCTTCTGCTAAGAAGTTAATGAGCTTTTATTTTAAATATAGAAGAAGGTCTTAGCAATCTGGTATTTTGTGGTATGAGGAATAAATCATATTATAACATGGGGTAAACTGTCCATGCCTTTGGAGTTTTGTATATGTTGGAGCTTTTGTGGTTTGCATATTAAAAGGCAGAGTCAAATTCTGTCTAAATTCTGCTTATAGTTCTGCATTTTTAGACCATTTTGCACTAAAGCATCTGTAACAAAACAGATGAATTTCATTAAAATGTATTTTAAAACAAAATTAAATTAACTGTACCCTTTAACCCATAATAATAATAGAGATAAGTTTCCTTATAAAATTATAAAACTATAAATCAATCAATTGTTCTTGCTGAATGAAATAAAATCACAGTTGTAGCATTGTAGAAGCTCCTGGTTTTAAGACATGAAGAAAAAATTTTTTTGCCACTTTCTTTTCTCAGAAGTTACCTTAAAACAAAAGATACAGATTACAAACTCCATCGTTGATAGAACCAACGGACATTTTTAACCCTTAATCTAAATTAAATATGGTAAATGACCTTGTGCCTATGACCAGGGCAACCAGGCCAGATTAGAGCAGGTTATTAAAACTTGCGTATACTTAGGAAGATAAATTGATAAAGCTAATGTGAATGTAAATATATTAAAAGGTGACTTAAACAACTGGTAGCAAGTTTAGGATAGATAATCGCTAGAGATCTAAGCAAAGGAGAAGGATAAGATAATAATTTCAGGGAAAATAAAAAGTAGTGCAGCAAAGAATATATAGTTATACTTTATAGCTCAGCTCCAGATAGCACACTCGTCTAACCAAAATTATGATATAACTACATTGGAAGAATACAATGTGTGAATTTGTGTGATGGAGGATAGAAAGGTAGGAGAGCTCAATTCTCATCTTCCCTAATAGGAAGGCAGGAGATAATATCAAAAATTGAAAGCTCAAGATATAGCAATATTAAGTGCTTATTTTAAAATAATGGAGGTAGATGAAAAGAACCAGCTAAAATAATTGAAAGTGGGCCTCTGGATAAGGGAAAATAAAGAAAGGGGACTGCTGTTTGCTTAAATAAACTTGTGGATCTAGTTGACTCTTACTGTGTATAATTAAAACCCAAAGAAAAAACAGAGAAAGAGCATTCCCACATTTTTTTTTCAGAATGACTATTATCATTTAATTCACCAAATCCCAGTGATCACACACACACACACACACACACAGCCTGTCAATTAAGTTCTAGATCTCGCTCTAGAAAAAGTGTTACATACCTCATTGCTGATATCACTACAGTCACCTTCAAAGTACTCCCCTTGGGAAGTTATGCAATGATCTATTCCCACATTTGAATAATGTTTAGTCAATATGTAGTGAAGTATACTTGTAGTACTATTGTATGTTTAACAAGTATAGCCAGGACATGACAGAGGCCTGTTAATAGAATCCTTGTGGAAGCCCAATAAATAGCACACCTTTCCCTGCCACATTCTGAACAAATAGTAACATAAGGAGGCTGAAATATTATCTTTATTACTCTTAAATGTTAAGATGGAAATATAGAGCTTAAAATGAGACCCAAATCGGGTCCGTTTAACTGAACCCCAAAATTAAATAGGCTTTTACCCACTTAGTCACCAGCAGTGGGTTGTGGAGTAGTAGCAGAAGGCATGCTCCCCAAGGGCAGCTCACTTTCATGAGGAAAAGGGAATTGAGCATACCCAGTTTTTCTTTCTCAAGTTTACCAATTAGATATGTCATTTAACACCAGGCAGAGAGGAACTAAGACTAAGTGCTCCCTTCTCAGTGATGAAAACATCGGAAAAATGTTGAATTGTTTCAATAGGACATTAAATTCTTTTAGTCTAGCCTCTTTTTAAATTTGTTTTTGTTTCTTTGCTTAGTTTTGCCATAATCTGTATATTCACCCAGTGTACATTTATGTTTATTTGGTTATAAAATCAAAGAATAAAAATCTTTTTTATATTTAAAGAAGCTATTTTTTATGTAATCCCCCCAATTTAAAAAAAGATTATAATCCACACGTAAAGAGGTAAATTTTAGATAATTTGCACTTTATTTTGTAGAAAATGAAACCAGAAAACTACTTCCAAATGTTATGCTCAGAAACCAATTTTCTTAGAGTTAAATATGTGGTTGTACTAGAGTATTGAGAATTATATTCTATTTTAAACTCTTTTAGATTTGGCAAAAAATTCATCCAATCTTACTTGAGTGCTTGCTTTCTGTAAAGTCCTGTATAGATGCTTCAGAAGTTAGTGTAGTTCTTTCACTTCAGGAACTTATTATGATCTGGTATAAATGGATATGACAAATACAGAAATAGTACAGGTCAGTACATGGAAGTAGCATAAGAAAATACTTAGTACTAAAGGGACTTGAACAAGAGGAGAGCACATTCAGTTTTTGAAGGGAGCTAGACAAGGGGAAATAAATGGGTTTTAGAAGTACTATCTTACAAATACCTTTTTTTCCCTCTTAATATTCAGTCTTGATTGAATCTTAGAAATTAGGATATCAGTATTACAGTAAGTTTTATTCTCACAAGTAAAATCTCCATTATAGAAAATTTAAGAAATTCAGAGAAATATAAAGGATTAAAAAATCATCCATAATACTACTCAGATAATCCTCATATTTTTGTTTCATCCACCCTTCAAATTGTTATTTAAATAAAATTGAGATCATACTTAATGTATATAATCTTGAAGCATATACTCTTCTTTTGATTTAACATGATAGTATGTATATCATGAAAACATATCTTCAAAAACATTTAACCAATTCCCTATTATTAGACTAAGATGAAAATTATTTTGTATTCCTTTTCTGTAGTCTCTGATTGTGTCCTTAGGTCAGGTCAACTTTTTAGAAGTTGGTTTCTTGGGACATTTTTAAAGCTATAAGGATTTATTTTCTTTAATACTATATTTATTTGCATTTATTGAATAAATCTTCCCCTATTTTCTTCCTGGCTTTGAATATACTCAGATTAAATTAGAAGATTTGTAGTTCCGTTGTACTAAAGTTAAAACATTTCCTTCCATATTTATAATTTGAAATTCAGTGTGTATCTTATGTTTCATTCTTACTCTTGAACATTTCTGATACTTAATTTCGAGGTGTACATTAAAAAGTTTTTTTAATGTTTCTTTTTGTAAAGTAGCCTTACCTACAGGTTTAATTTTGATATTTTTCAGGGTTACTTTGAAAGTTGTAACATACATAGAAACAGGATAGCAGGCTTTGAAGTAAAAGCCTATGCTAACCCCACAGTGGTCCGATGTGAAATTCATCATGGGCAGACCGGAGGAATATATGTCCATGAAAAAGGAAGAGGACAATTCATAGAGAATAAAATCTATGCAAACAACTTTGCAGGTGTATGGATTACCTCAAATAGTGACCCAACAATAAGGTATTTATATGTAATTATGATTGGAAATTACTTTTTTTGTTGTTTTATGTTTTAAGAAAAGTCAAGATACTTAGCTTTAACTCTTAATGTTTTTTTTCCTAGACACCTGGTTACTATAAAATAACTTTTCCTAGTAAAAATCTATGCATCTCAATGATCATAGCTATTGCGTTTATTTTTGTGTGATCTGTTCGTTTTTTCATTAGTGATCTAAGCCATGTACAGTATTACTTTATGAAGAATTCCAAATGCTGTGATTTTAATTTTAAATTCATCAAACTGCATTACAGATGAGTAAAAAGGGCTGTGACCTTCTTTTGGAATCAGAATGACCTGTAATCTCTCTCTCTTTTTTTTTTTTTTTTTCCCCTGAAAGTCAGCCGATAGAATAATTCAGGAAACTAATTAATCTCAAAGATTCTTGAACAGAGAAACCAAGAATAACAAAAGTCAAAACTTCAGAAAGCTGTCGGGCCGGCTGAGTGGCTCAGTTGGTTAAGAACTTGCTCAAGAGTGCGAGCTCTGAGCAACAGTGGTTCGATTCCCAGCTGGAGCTGAGCTGCCAACAGGTGGCAGGATGACTCAGCTAAAAAAAAAAAAAAACTTCAAGCTGTCACCTTTCTTTAGTAGTTCCTGCCACTCCCTCTGGCCACAGTAAGGAAACAAATAGATCCAGACTTAAAGGCATTAGTTAAGACTGTTGACCAGAGCTATTATAATTTAATCAAAGACCATGAAGTATATTTGATTGTCAAATTTTTTTCCACTGGTTTTATGAAAGTAGAGTGTGGGATTTCCATCTTGTTAATATTCAGCAAATGCTTGTACATCAGCTAAAAAGAAGGCATTCTTAATGTGTTAGCTGTTTTGAGGGGAGTTTTTAAGAATGCTATTATGCCTCCAATACTAGATGGCTTTTCCAAAGCTTTAGGCCTTAGAACTAAAAAGGAATTTAGAAATCATCTAGTCTGAGTCCCTTATTTGATAGATTAGGAAACTAAGGCCCATAGAAGTTAAATAATTTTCCAAGGTCACATGACCATGAGTGACTTTACAATTAATTGTATAAAACAAACTTTGCTGAATAGATGCTTGTTTTTTTATTATTTCATACAATTATAGGGGGAATTCTATATTTAATGGAAATCAAGGGGGAGTTTATATCTTTGGTGATGGACGAGGCCTTATTGAAGGAAATGACATTTATGGTAAGCATGTGGTTTTATTCTACAAAATTTTAGAGCTTTGCCTATCTTCCTGACATTGGCAAAATGGACCAGTTTTGAAACCATCCAAATAGAACAACCAGTTTATTCAAATTCTTAATTAAGATTCTTCTGTAATAGTTAATCACTTAAACATTTACTGAGTACCTACTATATATATGGCACTATGCCAGATACCAGGGACAAAAATACAAAGAAGATAGTCTCAAGGAGTATCGACAGTTTTCTTAGATTTGTTTCATTGTTGAACAATTAATAAATTATTTCTGTGGTAGTTTAATACACTCTGGTACTAACTAGAATAGGAAAATACTTATCCCTCATTAAGTCTTTTGAGGTATTAATTCAGCAGTCACTAAATATCTATGTACTAGACACTGATAAGTCCCTGTACTTTCTCTTTTGCTCACAATTATTTTATAGTACTTTATCGTAGTGCTTACTTAGTGCCAAGTACTGTCCTGAGCACCTTACCTGAATCAGGTAATATAACATTCACATCAACTCTGTGAAGTAGACAATACTAAATATCCCCTGAACTTATTGTTCAGGGAACAAACGTACAGAGAGGTTAAATAACTTATTCAAAGTCACACAGGAAGTAGGTAGAATTCCTGTAAGCAAAAGTATGCAGCCACGCCAGGAATCTCTTCCCTTAACCATTATACCTATATTACCTACAATTCTTTTTATTCCTTTTACTTAGTTCCCTAGTTTTATCTTATAATACTCTTAGGACATAAATATCTTTCTGAATATAACATATTTCACAGAATTCTGGTAAGAATTTTAACTACTATGTAATGTATCACTTGTACTATGTTTCACTAGGCTCCATATGTTGACATTGTAACTTTTACTTTTAAATAGGAAATGCATTAGCAGGAATTCAGATTAGGACAAACAGTTGTCCAATTGTTCGACATAACAAAATTCACGATGGCCAGCATGGTGGGATTTATGTGGTAAGTTAATGAATATGGTTCTAGAATCTCATGCATCAAAACCAGGAGAGCAAGGGGGAGGGGGCAGAATTATGTCCAGCTTGAGGTAAGCCATATTCAACTTCTAGAGTATGAATTTGTTGCGCTCTTTTTAATATTTAGACAATAAATAAGACTTGTTCTCCCTGCCAGTATATATGAATGGCTTTTAATTTTATAGTGAATGTAATATTCTATAAAATTTAATCAACTGACTAAATTTAGGCATAGAAGATCCACCTTTTTATTAAAGTCTTTATAATTGACAACATGGGCTAAACTCGTAACACTGATTGGCAGTCTGAGTTATATTTGTTACACTGGAATTTTGCCAATGTGACTACTGTATGAATCTCGGAAATTTTCCGGAAGTAAAATCATATCACTGAAAATAGTAATAATATGGGCCGGCTAAGTGGCTCAGTTGGTTAAGAGCTCGCTCAAGAGTTTGAGCTCTGAGCAACAGCGGTTTGAGTCCCGGCCCAAGCTAAGCAACCGCTGAGCCGCCAACAGGTGGCAGGATGGCTCAGCTAAAAAAAAAAAGAAAGAAAGAAAGAAAGAAAATACCGTATTTGCCGGCGTATAAGACGATTTTTTGGCCCTGAAAAATATGCCTCCAAGTGGGGGGTCGTCTTATA